TAATATTTTCTAAAAGTCTAACAAGACTCAACCTCAAGAAATTCTATAAACAAGAATGCAAGTGTTTGTTTCCCACAAATTTTGGTTTTTGGGTAAATTAGAAAGTTTTAGTGTACATAAATTATGGCGTTTGAAATATCGATCAATGTTCTGGTATTAATTATCTTATTCCTAACTAAGGGTTTTAGTTTTTAATTCTAGTCAAAGTTGTAATCAAGCACCTTTTATTATTTATTTTGGGTTTAAAATTGCAATTAATGATTTAAAATATATAACACAATAAAAGTAGAGAAAAATGTAAAATATAAAAAAATAAAATATAGGAAAATAAAGTACAAATAAATTAAATACCCTAACCTAAAGAGTTTAAGGTTGATGACCTATAGGTTTGAACAAAGTTTGATTTTCATATAAATTGCATTACATGACCATAAGCCTTATAACTTTTATTTTCTTTTATTCAATATTTTAGCATGAATCAATGCAGTTGATTTGGTATTTTTTATTTTTATAAATTTAATTATGAATTTGCAAATTTTGCCAACATGATAAGGATTTTCTCAAGGATTTAGATTAGGATTTGTGATTTGACCCATCAAATGAAGTCAAATCTTCATAAATTGGACCTCAAATATTAATCATTAGTAATCTAAAGTCCAATTACTAAAAATTTAAGCGAATTTGGAGTTGATTTGAAATTTTAATGATTTATCAAAGTTCATATATTTTATTTCCCAAAATTGGGAACATGTATTTTCAAGTTTCAAGAGGACTCACAATTATTGTTTTTATGTTCTATGATGTATATGAGTTCTTTCAAAATTATTTTTGTATTTTTAAATTATATAAATTTTTGTGTATTATGGAAATCTCTAGGTCCATAGTTGAATTTATCTAACCTAGAATTAGAGTTTACTAAAATGGCTTCAAAACTCCTAGGGATTAAGGCTTCGTTTGGGACGGCTTTCTTACTGCTTCTTAAAGCACCTTTTTAATATAAAATTTTTATTTTTTTTTTAAATTAATTTTTTTTATTAAAAAGCTGCTTTAAGAAGCAGTAAAAAAATTGTCCCAAATGAAGCCTAAATATTTTGGTCCATGTTGACTTAAAGATCAATCCCTAATGTTTTCAAACCATTTGGAGATGAAATGGATTAATTATAAAATTTTGAAATTCACTTAACTTCTCGTTCTATTATTTTTCTATGGATTCGAGAAGACTTGTCTTGTCTTGAGAGAGTTATCCTCTAACCTTCAAGATCAAAGGAAGCTATACTAAAATTTTTCAAGTCAAGAAAATATGTAAAGAGTTTTGAATAATTTTTCAAAATCCTAGGTCACTTGATGACTATGCTTTTTGGAAAATTAAAAAGATTCTATTGAATGCTTAATTCCCTATGAGAACAATTAGGAGCTTGTAAGACACCCAAGAGATGATTCAGTGAATTTGGCCTCAATCATATATGATTAAAGAAATTAATTACATTTTAATCCTTTTTTAAATAATTAAAATAAAATATTAAACATTAAGAGTTATTTTATTTTTATTTTTATAATTTTCTAATCTTCTTACATGATCCATAGAGTCCTTGCTTATAAAATTTGGCTAAGAAATGAAATTTCTACAATTTTTTGAAGTTATAGTGACTTTCTTGAATTAAATAAATCTTGAAATAAGATTTACTAAATGCAAGGGTTAACTCAGCTTGCACTTTACATGTAGTGGTCCCCCATTTGGGTTTATTAATACAACCGGGTCGCCCTTGGCATAATGGATGTGATATTAGCTATTTGATCTTAGATCAAATGACCATGATTAAACCAAGAAAGAATAATGGAAAGATGTATAGAAACAACATCCAACTTGATTAGTACCATTCATTCTATTTAAATAGAATGAATAGCTCTGATTCTTCTTCCATCTCCCACTGGTCATCCATTTATTTTCTTTTGATCTAGAAAGATCCATGGGTAGTTCTTATTCAATTTGATCAATAGAGGTATGGTTCTTGCAATCCAATTATCAAATCTTATTTGTTTATAAGTTTCTTTCATAATGTCATACACCCTTAAAAGTCTTCATTTACAGTTGTACATTACCTCAATACATTTGTTCTTGGAGGGGGCTTTTGATTTTAGCAAGTCTCTTAAAGCTTCTTACATAAGTTTGATGAAGATTACAAAGCTTAGGAAGTAGTTTATTAGCATTTCATTTTTCACTGTGAAGATCTTGCTAAAGCTAGCTCGATCTTGCTCAAAGTAGGCTATGTGAGGCTGGTGATCACTTAGAGATGATTCTCTCACATATGGGGAGATTGGGAAATCAATTTTGCATCCTTAGCTAGGCTAGAGATGGGTCTATTTATAGCTCTTAAATTCAGGCTCTAAGTGAGAATTCAATATTTAGGGGATGCTTACGTGGCCAAGGCTATTAGGGGAAGTCTAATTGGGGTTAGCCATGTGGCCTGGACAATTTTTTGGGCATTGTATAACCTTGGTTGTCTATTTAATAATTGAAATATTGCAAGTTCTCAACCATGAGTGATCTGACCAACTTAGTGGTGTTAGCTGGTAGGGTTGGTCTTAGAGATATTGAAGAATCTTCAAAGAGTTTAAGAGATGCACTTCACTTAAGCTAAGTAGATTTTGTTCAATTGAATTACTTTTTGGATGGGTTTAAGTTAATTGTTTGACCTACATGGGTCAGTCTAATTGGGTTAAGCTTTTTATGAGGATTAGGTTAAGGTTTTAAGAGGGTTGTGTTAAGTTTGGTGAGGTTCAATCATGGTTTGGTTGGGTTAAACCCAACAGAATCTAGGTTGGGTCATTGAGGGTATGTTGGGTTAACCATGGTTAACAATGAGTTGAAGGTGAGTCAAGGTGACTTTTGAAGGGTCATAGATTATCTTGACTAAACCTTAAGGTCAAATGTTTTGAGCTTTGGCTTTAGTTGTTCCTTGGATAAGGTTAAAGGTATTTTGGTCAACTTTAAGTGAACCATGGTCAAGGGTTCACCATGGGGTTAGGATGTGAGTCCAATTGATCTTTGAATTGTCTTTTGTCTCCTTGACTCTAATCCAAGGTCTAAGGTTATATTTTGACCTCAATTAACCCATGAATAGAATTCTGAGATTTTTTTTAGTAATTTTTGTCACCTAAAGTTGACCTTGGTCAAATAGGATTACCAAGGGTCAATCTTGACTCTAATTGGTCCAATGATTGACTTGGATTAGTCAGAGTAAAAGATTGGGCCTAAGATATTTAATAACCATTAAGGTCAAATTAAGGCCAGTATAATATAGGAATTCTAAGATTTATATAGCGAGACTCTCTAAGGGTTTTGAACTTCCTAAGGCTAGTCAACTCTAAGTCAATAGGAGTTCGCTTATGAAGGAAGGCTAACTCTAATGAGAAAGACTTAATAAGGATAGATTGCTAAATAGGAATGTTAAGCTCATTTAAAAATGAGGTCAATAGAGACAAATCTAACAAACTGAAGGTCACCAGATTTTGTTGTCCTTAAGGCAAATGCTAAATGAACGGTTTATGACCAAAAGATTCAAAATAATCCATCTAATAGAATGTTACGAAGATTTTGCCAAATTTGCAAAAATTTTACTTGAAAAATACTATAAGTAAACTCTCATTCATCATATGAAAGGGACTAAGTCTTGAGTCTAAAGAGAGCTTGGAGATCTGAAGAATTCTAGAGCTCTACTTGAATTTTGACATTGAAGATTGTTGCCATTGTTTGATCACCATCGCTCAATTATCATCATCCAACAACCGGCATCTACCACAATTGTCTGATTTTTATAATCCATTCACGATTATTGGACTTGCATCATCTGACAATCATCATTAACCATCATCGCTCAACTATCATCACATGATTTTTTTTTCATGATTTTTATTATTCAACATCATCATCTTACTAACATCATCTAGTTGTTGTATTTCCAATATTATCCATCATACCATCATAAATATATGCTTGTATCACATATTTTATAATCTTATCTTCTCGAATAAAGAGGAAGAACAAACTCTTGTAATATATCTACATAATAGATCATTTCATCTTTAGCTAAACCTCATGATTGTTTTTCTTTTTGAGTTTTCTACATAAAAATTTAGGTTTAATGATATTTTTTATTAGCCGTTTGAATTTTCCCAAAAATTTAAGATGAAAATTATCTCTATCAATCAAAATTTTCTGGCACACAATAACTATTATAATTAAACAAAAAAGGATTTTTTTAATTTTGATAATTTTGCATGTAATTATTAACTAATTTATTGATTAATTTATCTAAGATAGCCATAGATTAATTAGAGCTTCAATAATAAACAATTAAATCTATGATAACTTAATAATGTTTTGAACCTAATATATTTAATTTATAGTTTCTTTAGTCATAATAAGTGCTAACAAATTAGTTAATTACATTAATTACAAACTAATTAGATCATAAATAATTTCAATAGGATTTTATTAGTATTTGTTACAGTAATTAAGCAATAATTAATTAGCATCTTAATTGGCTTGAGCCTGGAGTGATTGGTAAAAGAAAATTTGAAGTAATTGTTATTATGCAAAATTTACTTATGATAATTAAACTTGTAATTAATAAGTTAATCATAAATCAAAGTAAATATAAAGATTAATGAAATGATTACAATTTAATTATTATAAATTAAAATTTAGTAGTTTCTAGCAGTAATGATTTGACAGTATAATCAAATATAAACTTATATAGCTAAATAACTTATAATTAAATATTTATTATACTTATTTAAGAAATAAATTACAATTAAAAACAAATAATTGAATATTTTAATCATGACTACATATATCTATATATACATCTACTTAAATATAATATTAATAAAATTTTAAAAAAAATATTCTGGCCCAACTTTTACCCCCTATATTGTGTTCTTTTGATGAAAAATATTGACCTACTTTCATGAACAAGCATGCATGGTTATATACTATATAAAAAGCAAAACAAATTCTTATCCACCATCACCAATGTTTTTGTGATGAAAAATATCACTTCTTCCGGAAAAAAAAGAGAGAAATTATGGTCAGTACAAACTGTACTCAAAGATTCTCAACCAGAAACTTGAAGCATCCAAGCTCAACTTCAGAACATTTAACAGGTCCATAGAATATCCATTATTCTAACACAAACAATATGTAACTTATAATCTAATGAAGGCATTACCATTTCACAAAGGCAGATCCCCACTGTCAGCGATCACAACCTTGCTTTTAGGAGTTCCATTTTGTTTGCCTTCGGCTTCAATTTTGTATACCACATCCATACCAGACAGCACCTTACCAAAGACGACATGCTTCCCATCCAACCTGCCAAAAATTCAAGCACCAGATTATATCATTTGATGACCAAACTTTCTATTCTGTATACAGATTAGGGTTTCGTTTGCGACGGCTTTGTTATTGTTTCTTAAAGCAGCTTTTTAGTAAAAACTTTTAAGGGATTTTTACATTCATAACACCTAAAACTATTGAAAATACATATCCAACACCTAAATTTCTATATTTACTAATATACCATCTAAAATCCCCCTTTCCTTCTATTCTACCATTCCATTGAAGCGATGAGATACTTGTATTCATTGTGAAAGGATGCCATTGAAGGGGAAGACAGTCGCTGATAGTGATTTTTGACGGAAGGTTTAAACGACATGTTATAATTGATTAAAAGAGGGGTTTTAGGTGGTCTATTAGTAAATATAGAAGTTTATGTGTTAAATATGTATTTTTAATAGTTTTAAGTGTTATATATGTAAAAATCCAAAATTTTAATTTTTGTACTAAAAAACTGTTTTAAGAAGCAGTAAGAAAGTCATCCCAAACGAAGCCTAAGAAGGGAAATATTACCAGCTTGTTGTAACTGTTGTGATGAAGAACTGTGATCCATTAGTATCACGGCCAGCATTTGCCATTGACAACAATCCTAATTATTCAATGAAACAAACATTCAGTAAATTTTCCACTTTGAATATTGATGAGCTTAGAGAGATTGTGTATCGAGGCATGAAAGTCTCTTGCCTGGTCCTGTGTGCTTGATTTTGAAGTTCTCATCAGCAAATTTCGCTCCATAAATGGATTCTCCTCCTCTGCCATCGCCGAGAGTGAAATCGCCTCCCTGGATCATAAAACTAGGAATGATTCGGTGGAATGAGCTTCCCTTGAAGTGAAGTGGTTTTCCACTTTTGCCTACACCTTTTTCACCTGTAGAAAAGACATTTTAATACAAATGTTTAAATGATTTCATGTAAAAATCAACAGAAAGCATTTTATTAAGGAATACCATTTCCACAAAAACTAAAATAAAAATAAAGATGCAGTCATTTGCTTTTGTCAGTATAGTTTCTTGAAACTGATGCTGATTTACCTTTGCATGGTCCTAACAATAATATAGGTTAATTTTCAAATCACCACTATAAAACTACAAATCAGCAATAGAATAGTTGCTAAAGAAATAATCCTTTAGCTAATTAGCTACCAAATGCCTATAATATAAGAATTTACCAAATGAATTTCTAACAAAGTTGCCAAAGATTCAAAATCTGTTGCAAATTTGTAGGTAATTAAGGTGTCAAATACATAGGACATGAAGGAAAACTTTGGTACAAAAAATCAGTAGCATATTTGTTATAATATGCTATAAATTTACTGCAGGATTTTATCCGTAGAAAAAAATGCTGCAATTTTTTTTTTTTCAATTCTTAATTAAGAACACACTGGGCTAATTTGTAGAAGAAAAAGGAAATACAGATTTTGAAGCCAAAATCTTAAAAAACCTAGCACCCTCCTTTGATGCCTATCCTGCAAACCTATGGCTTCAAGTTCAACGATTTCAAGTCTGAACAGCCGTTAGCAAATACCCGATTCCCCTTTTACTTTGGTTCTCTCTCTTCTGTGATCGGCACAGTTGCTTATTTGCCGGCTATATATAGACCTAGTTGCTCTCCTAGTTCTTCTCACTACGAACAACAATGATGAGCGAATTATTGGTGATCAATCAAGATATGTTGTTGGTTTAGAAAACAAACCAGTAAAATGTTAGACTGGTTCTTACTGAACCAGCCCAGCCGGCTCAAAGCATTGGGCCGGCTCTTACATACAGTAGACAGACAAAGCCAGTCTGCCCCGTAGGAGTTGCCACCAAAGCATCTAGCTGACCCACTAGAAAATCTGTTGAGGGGGCGGCTAGGGTTGGAGGGAAAGTTTGAATTAATTATTTGAAATTTTTTTTAAAGCAAATTTTATTAGATAAAGAACCAATACAACACAAGGCCAAAACACAAAAACAGACCAATGAAAATGAAAATACAGCCATAGAACTATAATTCTCGCAATGGCCATACAGTCTGAAAACAGATAAGTCAGACAGACTCAGACCGCTACATGGTTGCCAGGCATGGGCCATCCAAGGAGGAGTAAAAGGAACCATCCAAAAAATGAGATCCAGCAAAACGGAAAATGAAAACCTCCACCAAGGCTGCCAACCAAGCCATGACCATCCAAGGTGCATGCAGGAAACCTGCTTCATCATTGTTCAGACCCTAATTCTGTGTAGCAACATAAGGCAAACCCAAAAATAACCAACAAAACCAAAATCAGGCGAATACCAAAAGGACCAATCATTTCTTTTTGGCCTTATGGGTTATAGGCTTATCATTCTTTTTGAAGAAGTCAACATCTACAATTTGAAGAGCACCCAATTATAACTCATTAGTCTCCTCCCAACCGGCTGAAATAAAACCTCATTAAGATCTAACCAATCACATTGCTCCAAAGCACTACCACTTGCAAGGTGAGCCAACATACCAGCACTTGAAACAACAGCTAAAAGTACATCAACCAAATAGCCCCTAACACCATCAATATCCTCCCCATCAATTATTTGAATTTATGTATTAAATAGGAAGAGATGTTTAGGGTTAGGGTTATCTGAGAATTGTTGTTGTTTTTGGTATCTTTGGTTCTTGATGTCTTGGGCCCTAGCTTCGTCTAGAACTGGGAGAGATCGATCCTCCTCTCAAATTGAGGATCAATTGTATCTTGTTGTTTTCTTTTGTTAGTTTGATTTCCTACTATTTTTCTCTGCTTTTCCATCAATTTTGGGGAGTTCTCTTGTTGGTTTTGCCTCTATTGTTAGGGTTTACTTGAGATCCTCAAGTATTTCCTAATAAATTGGTATAAGAGCAGATTGTGGAACAATATGTGGGCTGTTTTCTGGAAAATCAGCGGCTATTTTTTGCCGGAGAAAGGGATCTTTGTTGATTTTTGGGTCAAATATCAAAATTTTATTAACGTACAAAAAATTGTGTATTGATGGCGGCTAAAAAGGTAGATGCATTGGAGGAACGTCTGTAAGGGGAGATGAGCCAAATGAAAGCAATGGTAGAAGATAGAATTTCATCCATGGAAGACAAAGTTTTCGATCATCTTGAGATGGTGAAGAAGATATTGGAAAATCAAATTCAAACAGCAACATAGGAAACTAAAGGACCAGTGGGGAGGACGACAATTTCTGAATTTCATAGGAAGACAATGATGTGGAAATCATGGAGGAGAGAGGTAGAAGGTATGGAGAGAGGCATGAGTATGTGAGGCATGAATCAAGAGGTGTTGGTTGGGAGAGAATAAAAGGGGATTATAGTAGAAATGGTGCTGATTTTGAAGAAAAGAGGGGAGAAAGCAAAGTGAGTTTTTGGTATGAGCATGGAAGGGAAGATCAGGAGACTTGGGGGGAGCTAAGCACTTGAGAATGGAAAAATTATGGAGGAATAAGGGGAAATAGGGGAGATCCGAAGGTGAGGAAACTGAAGACACCTATTTTTAAAGGGGAGGAGGCACACGGGTGGATCTACAAAGTTGAGAGGTATTTCACCATCAATGGACTGACGGAGAAGGAAAAATTAACGGCAGTAGGCTTATGTTTGGAGGGGAAGGCGTTGTCTTGGTACCAGTGGAGGGACCAGAAGAGACCCATATGGAGTTGGAGGGAATTTAAGGAATGCTTATTGGAACGTTTCCGTACCGGCAAGGGAGGGGACTTTTATATGCAGTTTTTTGCACTAGTGCAAGATGGATGAGTGGCAGACTACCGCGAAAGATTTAAGCACTTGGCCAGTCGAGTGAAACAACTATCGGAGATTGCTTTGAAGGGTAACTTCATGAAGGGACTCAAATTAGATATTAGAGTTGTAGTGAGAGTCATGAAGCGTCATGTCTTGGGAGAGGCAATGGAGCTGGCACAAGTAGTGGAAGATCAGAAGTACCAAGAGAGGAGAGCCAGGGGCAACAGTTCATATGGCTCTTATAGGATGACTACCATCCTTCCAACACCCAAGGGTCCTACAGCAGGCCATCTTTGAGAGGCTCCTAATTAAGGAGAAGCCAAAAGGAGGAAGTAGGGGAAACTTCAAAAGACTGACGGAGAGAGAGAGATGTAGGAGAAGAGGGGACTATGCTTCCTATGTGATGAGAAGTATACTCAATGGCCCAAGTGTAAGGACCAAACTGTTTAGGTTCTCACCATTTGTGATGATGAGGAAGCTGAGGAGGGAGACGGGAGTGAGGTAAAGGGAGAGATGGAGGACAAGCTGCATCTAGATATGGCAGATGTCTCCCTGAACTCAGTGGTAGGATTCACTCCGAATCAAACCATGAAGGTGAAGGGGGGATAGCAGAAAAGGAGGTAGTGGTGAGGCTACAAATAATTTTTATCTCCAACCAGGTCGTAGACCAATTAGAAGTGAAATTAATAGAAACAGGTTGTTATAGGGTGATGATGGGTACAAGGAAGGTAGAGAAGAGCCAAGGTATCTGTAGAGGAGTAGTGTTGACCATACAGGGAATTCAGGTGAGAGAATATTTTCTTCCACTAGAGTTAGAGAGCGTTAATGTCATCTTGGGGATGAAGTGGTTGCAAATCTTGGGAGACGCCAAGGTCAATTGGAGAGCATTAACGATGGAGCTAAGGGTGGATGGGAGAAGGGTAGTGATAAGGGGAGATGCATGGTTCTCTAGAGCTATGGCATCACTTAAAACCATGGTGATAAGTATGCATGAGGTGAGGGAAGGTTAGCTGGTGGAACTGCACAAATTGGAAGGGATCAGATTGGAGGAGAAAGGGAAAATTCCTCTTTCAATACAGTCATTGATTCAGTAATTTAGTGAGGTTTTTCGACCACCTCAGGGATTGCCACCACCTAGGAAGCAGGAGCATGTTAGCACTTTGAGGGAAGGTGTGTCACCTATCAACGTTAGGCCATACCACTATCCTCAACGCAGAAGGATGAGATTGAGAAGTTGATTAGAGAAATTTTGAAAGAAGGAATTATCAGGCCTAGTGTTAGTCCTTTTTCTGGCCCAGTGATACTAGTTAAGAAGAAGGATGCGAGTTGGAGATTTTGTGTGACTTATAGGGTAATGAATAAGAAATTGTGCCAGACAGGTTTTCCATTCCAGTAATAGATGAGTTGTTGTATGAGTTGAGTGGTGCAGTTACCTTTATCAAAATAGATCTGAAGTCAGAGTATCATCAGATCAGGATGAAAATAGAGGATGTGCTAAAGACTGCTTTCAAAACTCATGAAAGGCATTATGAATTTCTAGTGATGCCTTTTGACCTCACTAACGCCCCAGCCACTTTCTAGTCCCTCATGAACAAGGTTTTTAGGCCCTATCTCAGGCGGTTTGTATTGAAATTTTTTAATGATATCATGGTTTACCGCAAGTTTAGAGGAGGAGCACTGGAAGCACTTGAGGAGCGTTTTAAAGGTGTTAAAAGAGTACCAGTTGAGGGCCAATTTGAAGAAATGTTGTTTTGCCCAGGCCAATGTGGAGTATTTAGGACATATAGTATCTAAGGAGGGGGTGGCAGTAGATCAAGTCAAAATTGAAGATATGTTGAGGTCGCTAGTGCCTAAGAATCTCAAGGAGTTGAGGGAATTCCTAGGACTGATAGGTTACTACAAGAGGTTCATAAAGAGGTACAACACTATCGCCTGGCTACTAACAGAACAGCAAAAGAAGGATGATTTCTTATGGGGAGAAACAACTTTAATAACTTTTGAGAGCTTGAAGAAGGTCATGACCACTATATCGATCTTGGCCTTACCAGACTTCACTCAGGTCTTCATAGTGGAGACAAATGCCTCAGAATATAAATTGGGAGTAGTAATGATGCAGAATCGTTGACCCATTGCCTATTTCAGCCACAGCCAGAGCCAGGCTGAAATCCGTTTATGAGAGGGAGTTGATGACTATTGTGTTAGCCATCCAAAAGTAGTGACCCTACTTGTTAGGACAGCATTTCATCATCAGGATAGACCAGAGGAACCTAAAGTACTTGTTAGAACAAAAGAATTATGACTGAGGAGCACCAGAGATGGTTGTCCAAGTTGTTGGGGTATGATTTTGAAATCCAATACAGGCCTGGAGTGGAGAACACAGCAGCGGATGCCTTGTCCATATGTATGGGGGAGTTATAGGCGATAGCAGTGTCCATACCATTTATGAAATGTGTTTCTAGTACTTCACATTTACCTTGGTTATTTTTCTACTTCGGCTCCTTGAGGAAATTTTTATAATTTCACTTCTGGTAACTAGGTAAATCACAATGAAAACACTTTCATTTGGCCTTTTGACCATTAGATTTGTTCCTGCCCTTTTTGTTCTTATTTGCCTTTTTTTTCCTTTCTTTAGATTTGGCATTCCTAGCATTTTTCTACTTCTTTTTTTCAAAACAAAATGAAGGGATGCCTTCCACAATATTTGCCTCAGCACCATTTTTCTCGACTCTTGTGAATTGACTCAAAGACTTGGGGTTCATTTAAAAGTCCAGTTAAAGTCAATTTCATCTTGTTCATGTTGTATATCACACTTGAACTGGATAAAAACGCATTTGACAAATTCTCTAAGATCCTCCCCACTTGAATAGCTTCATCTATTGTCGCCCCATTAAATCTCATAAAAATGGCTAATCATGGTAGGTAAATTTTCACAAACTAGTAAGTTGTCCATTTTGGAGCTCATTACTGCCTTAGTGACATCAGGTTGTTCCTTTTCAAAAAAGCGATTAAAATATTTATTTTAGAAACACAATTATCTCATATAAACCACAAATTTAGTTGTTGATTGTTGAGTTATCTTAAATTTGAGAGTTTGAAACTCTCTCCGCCCATAAGATATGAACGTTAATCTTTAAATATTAAATTTTAATCTATAAAAAAATTTAGGATAAAATTTTTAAAGAATTCAAAATTATGGCACGCATAAAAATATTTTCTTGAAATGTCATAATTTAAAAAAGTCTAATTTTATCAGAATTTAAAAAGAATGAGATGTATTTTATAAGAAAAAGCATAATTGCAAAATAATGATTTGGAAAGAGTGATATGAAAATATCTGCCCATTGATCTCTACTCTTAGTACAACACCGTTAGATTTAAAAGGTGCTTCGAAACAACTTTATTTCATCCTCCCAAGAGAGGGTGTATTTTTAGATTAATACCACAGTTTTCTTACATGCTATAATTTTGAAGACATCAATTTAATGTAAAGTCTAAGGATATCAATGAGTTTAATTCATATAAATAAAATTAAATAATTAAATTATATTTTAACCAAAATTTAATATAATCAATAATTTGGAAATAAGAGTTCTTTGGATAATATTTATTGATTGAAATAGTCTTGATTTAATGAGAAAATCTCATGATCTATACACTAAGACGCCCCGATTTTCATGTTGATTGGACTATCTTTGGCAAAATTAAGCATATGTTTATTTATTTTTACTGTGCATTTATGCATTTTATTTACTTTGCTTAAATTATTTTGACACTTTGAGCATATAAATTAAATAATACAATTTTATTTATTTCAGCAATATATTTAATCATAGTATTGCAATTCTCGTTAATAAACAATTGACTATCTATAGTCAAGTGGAAAACTAACATGAATATTGTGCTTGTAAGTGAGAGACTGCCGGCAATGCCCTCCAAGAGTCCAGAAGGTATACACAGTTTCGATTCAAGCCAATAACGTGGCACACTGCTAGCAGAGAGAAGAAATGAACTGATCAGAAGTAGAGAGAAGAAAGGAACTGATGAGAACCAAACATGAATCGATGGAGACTGCTTATGAGATAATGAAATCTCTACAATAGATGTCTGGTTGCCCATTTGAAAGGGCACATAATGCCAAGGATGGTCACGAACACCAAAATGGAAAGAAACAAGCCAGTTTGTAAATATGTTTTTGACATGGTTAGCTATTTTAATGAGGTTGCGATCAACGTGGCAATGCTAGATGAGGCTATCCAAGTAGGAGATGATCTTAGAGACTGCCCTTTGCTTTTGTCTGGATCTAAGTCTTTTAGATCATGAACAAGATGAAGTTGTAACAAATTAATTTCTTGAATGAGCTAACTGTTGTTGAGGGTAACCGCATATGAAAATGACAAAAAGTGGAAGGAAATAATGAGAATGCCAAATATAAAGACAAGAAGAAAAATATCAGAAGGAACAAAAAGGGAAACAACAATGTTAATGACCAAAAGGCCTAAGGAAAGTATTTCCATTGCAATCAGCATGATCGCTCGAAAAAGTATAAGATGGTATGTATGTAAATCTCCCAAAAAAAAATTGTAAAAAGAATATCAAGGAGCTAACGCAGAAGAACCAAGGTAAAAGTGATTTGTTTGTTCTAAAGACATGTTTAGGAAAGAATGATTTCTCGTCCTGGATTGTTGATCCGAGAGTGACTAAACACATTTACTATTCTTTGCAAGCACTAAGTTCTTTAAGGGAGCTTGCTGATGAGGAATTCACAATGCAAGTGGGCAATTGAGCCTTAATTTCAACATGATTTTTTTTATGCCTTAAAATTATGCATTATCTCCATTATTCATTGGACTAATGTGTGGGCATCTCTATATTGGGAAATATATGCTCTTTCTCCCTCCAATCTCCTTCATTTCTCTCTCCCATTTCTTCCAGAGGTCTCCATATTTCTTTCCATTTAAGCCTCAGATTTCCTTCTTTAGTTTTTTTTTTATGATTAATGGATGAAGATTTTGCACATGAGAAATGGCAAAGGAGTAATTTGAATGTGTAAAGGTAATAAACTTACTTTTTGAATTCGGACTTCTTTTAAATAGCCTAAATTCACTCCATCATACTAGTCACATTAAGAATCTAAGACCATAAGCATCCTTCAATATTTAGTATAAGAGTTTAGGTTGTACAAACATGACACTTAGAAACTAGGCTCACTATCAAGATAAAATATTATGACAGGGATGAAATTTTCATAATTTACAAAATAAATTGGTTGAATTGCTAATAAGAAAAAATCAAATGTGATAGGATATCAATCAAAATAAAGAGCAAACATAAATTTTATAAGCCAATCAAGTTCAGTTGTGTGAATCTGAAGTGGAATCCATCATAATGATGAACCCATTTTCTTAAAGGTTAACACAGTTGGAAGAAAAGTATTATGGGGAAATAACCAAGACAGACATTGCAAATTGGTTGATAATGACCTTGATGGAATCAAAATTTTGATGTAGATAACGACATAACCAAAAGGAAAAAGTTGAGGTGTCTACTTTTGATGTTAAAATTGATTTAAGGTATTTTCTGAATGGGTAATGAATTTGAATAATTTCATTTAAGTGACAAATAATATCTGCCAAGTACAAGTAAATTTGACAAAATAAAAAATTGTTGGGCAAGCTAAAATGCACGGGATGAGCATGGAAGGAACAAGGAAAAATCAAAACTTAAACCTAAAACTAAAAAAACATGTGCCTTTTTATATCATTGTGATTGTCTACTTGATGAATTTAATTCTTTTAGAAAATAAACAAAAATAGTTATTGAATATATGAACAAATTTGAAGAGTTGTAGCATTATAAGATTAAAGAAGATCCTAAAAACATACTTTCTAGGTTTAAATTTGATATATGCCAATCGCCTTGCCATCATGCTCCCTCTCTTGTCTCAATGTCCCTCTACTCTCTCTCTCTCTCTCTCTCTCTCTCTCTCTCTTCCATTCTTATTGAAATTCTTGAAACCCTCGGCAACAAAGAAGTGAGGAAATTGCACGGGAACTCACTAACAAACGAATTGACGGATCCATAGAGAGCGGCATGCGACGAAGAAGAGGGAGTTATGCATGAGCTTGGTGCAAGAAGGCATTGACAGCGAGTATGGCAAGATCTAGCAAACTCAATTAGCTTCTTTAGCAAAGTGCTAGATGATGTAAATAATAAAGTTTATGCGTTAAATGTCTAAATCCTAATATTTTAGATGTTATGTATGTAAATCACCTATAAAATTATACAAGTATTGAGCAGACTCATCCTAAGGCTAACCTTGGTGAGCATCAAACTAGCCTACATAGTCAAGAGAGCAACCTACAATTATAGAAATGTAACAGCTAGAGTGCCAACCAAGCTGACCAACCTATTAGTGCAGCCTGTAATGCATATAAGATCATAGGATGTAATGTAAATGAATGGATTTCTCCTTTCAGAAGGTTATGGAAAAGAGAAACTACCCCTCTTTTTTCATGGTACAATGTAGTTTCCTTTCAAACTGACCAAATTCCTTTACAGGCATGCCCTATTTCTCTACGTTAATCATTCAAATCTCCACTTTATTGTCTCTCCAATATACCCTTCCATCCAGTAATTAAAATTCTTCTTTTAAAATATCCTCTTTCAAAAGGGATGTCTTCTTCTAACAAAACATCTTAAGCTCTAACTTGAAATACCATCATTGTTAGATAACACATCAAACTATCATTATAAAACCACTTTTTTTCATCATCTTAAACATCCTAAGAGGACAAACCATCCATTTCAAACGAAAACAAAAAAACAAGAAGCTTCAAAAAATGAGTTATTTCCAAAAGAAACATCTATCAAAGGGAGCCTTACAAAAACTGATTAATAACATAAAAAATATATCAGCTATGGTTGTAATGCAAACTTAATTTAGCAATCTAGAGAAGATCAATACCTGTGCAAAGTGCTCGAAAATTCTCTGCAAAACAAGAACAGCCCAAAAAGTAAATTTAGAAGGTACTAAAGATAGAGCTATACTTCTACAAGTATAAACTTCACAAAAAGATAAACTAATACCAGCAGTTTTTGGTACAGTTTTACCGAAGAGACCCATCACAATGCGACCTGTTTATAGAATGCATGGACCACATCAACAATTATTTCAAATTCTCTCTTTCAAATAAATCATTTACAGGTAATTGGCGCAAAGAGTTTTAAACCAAAATAACTATATAATCTATTCTGAGGGCTGTGAACATAGTGCTCATTTTGAAGTTTGTAAATCTCCAATAAAAGATAAACAAACAAGTACAGATAGAGTCAATATGAGAGACTGGATTTAAGAGGATAGAAGGATATATCAATATAGAATACATTATAAATATCATTAATGAATATAGATAAGACTGCTAGTTTGTCTGATTTAATTAACAGTCCATGATCTTCTTGATAGTTTATTTCAAATTAGATTTATTTGAAGAACAACCAAGCAAAGACTGTACATGATGGTCATAATTATAAAATTAGAAAAAAAAAAGGCAAATAATCATATATGGTAGCAGTATGAGAAAGATCAAAGAAGAGGAAGGCACTGGTTTAGAGATTTGGGCATGTTCAAAAATTTTCAAAAAGATATATAAGGCAAGAAAGGCAAGGTGGACATGATACTTGTGTTAACACCAAGGTACTGCCGATCAGGAAATTTAAAGCTAGTCTTAACATTGTTTTATGAAACACCACGCTATATCAATATAAAGCTCACGCTTATTGTGTCTAATACGCTGTGTTCATCATGTATAACTCTGCCTAACGAACATTCCACTTCAGAAGAAAAAAAAAAAAAAAGGATTCAAAGTTATTGGATATCCTATACACCATTCATCTTATCATGTTGTAAGGATATCCATGCATATGATACACAAGTATGAAGACTCTAGAGATGTGCCATTATTCTTGCAAAAGAAATTTGATAGATCAATACTACAGAAATATGCTCAAAAAGCTCTTCATACCCAAAATCCTTCCATTGATCCATTAAAGTGTACTAAAAGGAAAATATCTTGCTTCAATAACATTTATAACATAAATAAAGGTTACAAATGCAGTATCTATCACAATATTTCACATACCAGCAGGCTTTCCATCAATCTCCACATCAAAGAAAACCTTGTGTGTGACTTCCTTCAAATCCTTGGTTGCATTAGCCTGAAATATCAATTCATGTAGCATAAGCACACAAGTTTTAAACTCATTTCTACCCAATAAAAGTCATAAAATGATCATACTGTAAAGAAGGACAATAAAAACAAATCAGTTAATCAGAGAATTAGTAAAAAAGCTTATTTAAGCAAGTGAATAAGCCAGCAGAGACACAAGAATGAATCTGAAGATGGACAAGTTTGTAAAACAGGTTAATGATGAATTACAAATTAAGTAACTTTAATGAGATACATTTAAATGATTTCATTTCTACAGACATGGAAGGTAGTTTAAAAAGTCATTAAAATAAGTTATGGACAAAAGTATGTGCAAAACTCTAGATTCGCAGATCAAAACTGATTAGGCTAGCATACTAACGATACATAAAATGTTTAAAGACTTTAAACAATGGTTTGATGGGTCCTGAGCTTGGGGGAAACTAGGCAAGCTAGATTTAAGAATCATAATCCCTTAGTAAGGAAGCAACATAAGAACTACAAAAATGAAATTTCAGATATTATTTTAGGGGTTGTATGGTTTAGTGTTTTCTTTGATAAAATGTTATGTTATTTACGATAAATAATGTTTGATTTGATATTATCCCTAACACAGAATAATCTAAACAACATTAGGAGTCAAGATTAACGCAATTCCAAATAACTAACAAATTAGATGCTATCTAGATTACCAAAATCTTGAAGATTTAAGAAAAAAAGGAAAAAAATATTTTTGTTTTTAATCAGATGCCATTAAACCAAATAAACAGCATTTGAAAGATAATATTGATATATGAATAGGATTGTTATCTCGTTTATAACATTATATAAATAACACTGAACCAAGCATATCATTTGCATCCAATTCAAGCAAAAGCCCAACTGCGGAAACAAGGTCAATTGCCGAATAGGACTCATCACCAAACACCTCTAATGACGAGTGACACCTTTGTTTTACAGAACAGGCCATGGTCATGTCAATCTCAATAATGCTGCCAATTTCCAATGTTCACGGGGTGGACTCAACCATTTTCACAAACAATCGCAGTGCTGTGCTAAAAATCGCAGACTAAACTTAGCCAGAAAACTTCCTATCCATTCATTAGTTGCATTAGCTACGATGATTCAACGGGTTAAAGTCCTAATTTAGTTGAATTATATAAGAATAAAACCTTGACAGCTGAAGGTGCTAATAATCAGAGTAAATTGGGAAAAATTAGATATCACGGAAGGAATCGAACCTGAATGATAGAAATGGTGGCGATAAAACATATGATTGATAGGAGGGCCACGCAAATCTTCCTCTTCGTGATCGCCATTTTTGCGTCCGCCTTGACTTCTCGACGCGATGCGGTTTTCCTTTTCCCTTCCAGTTTTTGATCCAATTAACAAAAGCGTTCGCCTTAGGGCCTGCAGCTTGAGATAGATATCATATAGATCCAGGATCTGATCGGGGGGTTGAACGAGTTTGAGTCAATTGTCTATCTAATGCAGTTAAATTTATTTATTTTTATTTAATTTAAATTTAATTGGAACTCATTTATTAAGTTTGTGCTCAGCTCCTTAAAAAATTTGTAGGCATGGACTTATTTGAAAAGTTCTAGTTTGACATGATTATTGAATTCGATTTTTTATTTTAACTTAAAATTTTTATTTCTCTAAGTTTTATAGTGTAAAATTAATTAAAAACACAAAATATGTTATATAATACTAATTTCAATTAATTTTTAAATATATTTTAAATTAATCAAGTAGCTCAAAAGGCTTACAAGTCGAGATAGGCTGAGCTCTGAGTTTGAGTGTGAACCGGTGGCTCAATAAGCTGAACTTGTGAGTTTTGGCTCACTTGCACCCTTAGGTGTGATGTTAGTAGTGCGCCTCATATTAAAATTAGATTTTCCAACACAAAATTTGGGTTCAGCTGGAGATAGGTAGCATAACTGACAGCGTCAGATCATAGTCGGATCACGTTAGTAAATATCAAATCATTATTTGACTATTTCTTTATAACTGTTTTTTAAAATAAATTAAAATGGATTATTGCCTTTTATGACAAAAACTATGAAGTGTTGCAATAATAAAAAGCTGTTATTTGACTTCTTCAAAGAGAAATTTACTTTATATACTCCATAATACTAAAAATTAGAGCTACCTCCTAAAACTAGGCACAAAATGCTTAAATGAATTAGAAAAAATTTTAAGTAGAAACTTTTGGTATAGTTGAAATTATAGAATATGCAGAGTAAAAAAATGAACTGGAAGAAAATAACTAAATCTAGAAACCATACACTATATAATTACCCATCACAAAAATTAGAAGAGGCACAAGGCCATAGCCAAACATTGAGGAGAGTTGATGAAAAATCAAGCTAAATAACATGTTTATGGAGCTTTTATCTAAGACTTTAGGTATTTTTTGAATATTAATAGATTGATAATAACAACTTACTACTTGATCACCACAACAGCTCTTCATAGAGTATGACCAATTTAGCATGATGAAAAAAAAAACACACAGCTCACATTGGCCTGTTGGTTGAGAGCTTATGCTTCGAACTAAAAGGTCTTGGGTTCGAGTTTTTGTGTATGCGTTGTGTGTGTGAGTTTGCCTTAAATGGCCTAAATGTCCCAAAAAAAATGATGAAATTTTTTTTTTTGTGAAACTAACACAAATATAAAATTCTTGTAAGACATAATAGGATTATCTTATATTAAAGCATACCATATAAGAAAGGTGGCCACCCAATATATAGGGTTCTAAAGGCAAAAATAAGATGTGGGACTAAATATCTCACATGATTGAAAATATATGGCCATCTTATACAAGAAATCAAAATTTTCCAAAGTTATATTTAGATCTATGCTAATTTATGAACTACAAAGCTGTAGAATATAATCTTAGCTATCTAATAAATCAATTATTATTAAATAATAAATATCTTAGTAGAAAGATACATTCAAAATATCAAAGCTGCATATTTGCATCTCATCTAAACTAAAAATGCTAAACTAAGAGTGATGAGTTGGTAATAAAAATGCTAAAACAATTTTGAATGACATCTAAACTAAATTAATTTAAAGTATAGTAGATGGCACTCTTGCTAAAGGTCTTTAATGTGCATAATCTTCAGTACAAATTATGTTAATTTGACAAAAATCTTTGTCTATGGTGGTGTCTACACCAACACCACTGATATGGAGATAACTCAACTCTAGTGAGTATAGGTTAGTGATGTCTTGACATTTCTTAACTGATTTTGGATTTTTCCTCTAAAGCTTCTCTATATTGATCTATATGTCCTATATGTTAGGTCAATATTTCCACTACTTAAATACAACAGATAGTTGTGAATTCCAATGGTTATTGGCTAGTCATCTAAGATTTTATCAATTGGTTCACTCTTCTTATTAAGGTTAGTGGACTCTCTGTGGTAGGCTCACACTCAAGTGGTAGGGATAATTGACCAAATAACTTGTTAGGTTGTTGTCTTAAGAAATGTAAATGCCTTCTACACCACTTGATGCTTGAGTATGACTAGTTTAAATTACTTTCCCATGCTCGATTTAGTTATCCTTGCTCAATCTCGGTCACTTGAACTTGATTAGGCTAATACCCCTTGTTTTATCCTCTAGCCCTTTCTTAACATAGTTCAAACAACTCATCCATTTCTAATTTCACCTATTTTAGGTCCTTGACTCACTCCTATGTGTAACTCTCACTTAGCTTAATTGCAAATCTTACCCTTGCCTTTTGCTTGATCTAATTTTGATGAAATTCTATGATGACTATAAAATCCTTTAGAGTTAGCAAAGCCAATAGGATAAGAGCCTAAATTTCTTAATTATTAATCTTAAGGTAATCTCTTGATTAGTTTAACTAGAGATAGTTCCAAAGTAGACCTAAATCTAACCTAACCCTAAGTAATTCATGTGGATCCATTTATTGATCTAAGCATTTGATACTCTTCCTTAATGGTTCAATCATATGTATGGCCATTATGTTTGAATGTTGCATTTGTTGATCTTGAAAACTAGGCTCAACTTTGACCAAAACTAAAACTAAACCCAACCACCTTAGCTCTTAGTCCATAGTGATTTAGAACCAAGTTATTCAATTATTTCATTAGACCTCTTCCATAGGATAGTAATTATCTAGCCATAAATAATTTGACTCTAGTTGACCCTTGGACCATGTTATGATTGATAAAATTAGGTGACCCTAATTTAACCTATTTTGGCCCAATTATGTCAATTAAATTCAAACCCTATGATTCCTAAAATTGACCTCACCCTCCTTATAATTCCCAAAATTATAGAAATGACCTAAATAAGATAAATAAACATTTGAAGTAGCTTAATTAGACTATTTGACACAAGTTAGCCCAAAACAACCTAAACCCTCAAATTTGCTAAATTGATAGAACCTAAGGCCTCAAAACAATTTTAAAATGTCAATTATAAATAACTTAGCTCTAATTGACCCTTTATTTGACCAATTAGCTCACTTATCCCAAGTCAACTCATTTAAACCACTAATGTTATTTTGACCAGTTTAACCTAAATAAGCTAAATAAACCTTTAAAATAGCTTAATTAAATTATTTGACACTAGGTAGCCTAAATAAACATAAACCCTTAAATATGCTAAATTAATAGAGCCTCAAGTCCATAAACTAATTTTAAAAAACCGATAAAAATGACTTAACTCTAATTGACCCTTGATTTGACCAATTAGCTTGTTGGCCTTGTTTTTCCCCAAATCCTTGGGTCAAGGGGTTGACCTTGTCAAATTGACCAGGCCAAGCCCCAAAACCCTATCTTTTGTTCTCAGTGGGTTCGACCAGGTTTGTTGAGCCCTGACCCAGGTCCTGGGTCAACCTGGTTTACCTGGTCAACCTGGGTTGACCTAAATTGACCCATACACTTCTATTTGATCTCAAATCATCTTGAGATTCTCAAGCTCATTTCTCTCCTCTCTTGGACCCAATGGGACAGACCCCACCCATTAGGCCCAGACTTGTGCCTTGGGTCAACCTAGTTGAGCATGTCAACCTAGGTTGACCCATTTAGCCCTTTTGAGCCTAATTCATATTTTAGTCCAAATCAAATCAATCCTAGGCTCAAACTCCTGTACCTTGGACCTCATTGGCTGGGTTGACCAAGTCAACCATTGACTTGGTCAACAAAAGTCTTTCTTGGGTCAATTTGACATATTTAAGTCAAATTTAGGCCCATTTAATGCTTTGGAATATTTCTTAATGATCTCTAACCCAAATCCCGACCTAATTAAGGTATTTTCCCTCCTAATCAGCCTTAGATCTAATCCTAGCCATCCATGATAGGCTTGGGACTATAAATAGGTTATTAGGGTTTACGTTGGGATCTTTTTGCTCTTTCATTCACTCCAAGCCCCCTAAGCCCGAGAATTTTTGTATGTGAGCTCCCCATACCCTTTCCTATACATCATTAGTCTAATCTGACCGGTCAAAGTCGCTGGCGAGACCAACCTAATCCATCCAAGTTCCATATCTTTCGATCAATGGCATTTCAAGGCTTTCTTTTAACTAGGAAATTGTATAAGGATAGTCTACAAGCTTAACCATACCAAGATCGCCCAAATCCATCCATTGGATTGAGGTAAATTTGGAACCCTAGGCTAACACACCTAGAGTTAAATAGCTTTATAAAAATAATGTTTTAAGCCATATTTTTGAACCCGCATTGATTGTCTTCATTCTATGATTATATGTTTTAAATTTCAAGTTGAATGGATCTGTATTTTGTGAGAACGGGCCCTTTTTCTGTTTAGGGTTTCAAGTTTACGCCAGTTTTGAACCATACAGGATTTAGACAGTTGATTTTTTTATTAACGGTATGGATCCCCTCGGATCGCGATTGATCCAAAGCTGGGTAACACTTCCATCTTTCAGATCTCAGTATGCCGCCATTTAGACCGTCCATCAAGAACAGCAGGCGATCTGATGGTCCAAAATCGCCACTAACGTGGTTAAGGAGGCTAGTGCCGTGGACAACATTCCGCAATCATGTGGCAATGATTGCACGGCGGCGCAATCATTTCCCATGATTAGAAACTGCGTTCACGATTTACGCTGGCCAGCCGGAGGGTGACACGTAGCCCATTAAGTCGCTGTTGTCACCGTTAATTTTAAATAATTTTAATTCATTTTAATTTTTTTTAATTTAGTTTTTTTTAAATAGAAAAATTATTTAAAAAAATTAGAAAATTATATTTTAAATTATTATTATTATTAATTATTTTCATTATTATTATTAAATTATTAATATTATTAAATTTTTATT